ACACACACACACACACACACACACACACACACACACACACACACACACACACACATGCACACACACACACACACACACACACACAATTCACTAGTCTTAGAGAAATGCAAATGTAGGATATTACACTTTTAAATGTCATTGAAGGTATCATATACATTGCTTTTCAATTCCCCAATCAAGTATACATGCATAGTGCTCAAACAATGTTTGATATGACAGTTGTTGCTTTTATCAACAATTTTTCTATGTTGTAGAGTTATAAAAAAGAGATAAATAAATACCTTAGATTTCATTTCACGTTTTAGCTTTTCCTGTAGTTGAATGACCTAACAACAAAAAATGAACAACTCATTTATGTGGGCAATCTGCGTATACCTCAGCTTTGTGTTTCTCTTGATTCTGGGCCACTAATCCTTTCTGTTTATCCACCTCCCGACTGTAAGCATTGACTTGTGCTGTTAGAGCCTGCATCTCTTGCTTTATTTCTATCACTCTCTCTGTCTCTCCTTGTTCCAATTCTTTGATTCTCTATTTCAAATAAAATTTACATTTCAAATTATTGATTAATACTTTTTCCAGTCTTTTCTTTTCCTTAGTTAAGCTAGAAAGTTGTTCTTTTGCTTTCATTAATTCTCCTTTTGTTTTTTCTACTTCATCTGTCATAGATGCAATGAGTTTGATATGTTCCTATAAAGACAAAATAAAAATAGTTCATACAGGCAAAACTCACATGTTTTTGCAATTCATGATACTTTCCTTGTGCATTGATAAACTTCTCTTCTTCAGTTAATTTCTGTTTCAAATACTCACAGTGAGCTTGCAAATCAATAAATGATTGATGTAACTTCTGCTGGTCATTTCTTTCAGTTTCAAAGTCATGCTTGTATATCGCACTCTAAAATGAATGATATCGTATAGGGGTATATTTCACGGGGATTTAATTTTGCTAATTTCACGGTTTTAAAAAATTCGTGAAAATTTTTATTTATGAAAATTATTTTTATCACACTAATAATGGTCAGTAGAAGAAAAAAGCAAAAATTTTTTCTTGTGAATAGGTTAAAAGGTGATTTTCATGAAATATTTTCCCCAGGAAATATACCCTCTATACGGTAATACCGTATAGCCGCTTAATTTCGAGGGTACAACTTTCGCCGTTTTCATGGATTTTCTGTATTCACAAAAGTTAATTCCGTAAAATTATCTGTATTGCCCATAAACACGTGTGCTTTAAAATAAGAACCACGAAAGTTAATTCGCGAAAAAAGACTTGTGGCCTGATTCGCGAAAGTTTATTGCCTTGAAACTTTGTGGCTATATGGTAACTAAAGTTATGAAATTTACACGTACATACCAGTGCTTCTTCCACTTGTAATTTCTCAGCTAGTTGATCAATCTGCTTTTGTTTAGCTTCCAATTGTTCGTTAGCCCTCATCATTTGTTGATCAAGTGCTTGCTTCATCTGAGACACTGTTTCACTTCTTACTTCAACCGCTTGTTGTAGACTAGCTATCACTTCATCTTTCTCTTCCATATTTTTGGCAAGCTTATCCTTCACTTTCTGTAACTGATCCCTGGTGTCTTGTACTTCACTTTCTTTATTTATTCCATCTTCAGTGAGCTTTTTATTAGTAACTTGCAAAGTCTCAATATCCTAACAAAATTAATAACAATAATAAATAAATAAAAATAAATGATTTACTTGTTTCTGTTTATCAACCACTTTCTCTTGTATTTTTCCAATTTCATCATGCTTTTTCTATCAAAAATATGAGTATCATAATAATTATTTTAACAATAAAACCTTGAGTTCTTCTAATTTCTGTAATTAAAAAAACAATAGAAAAGGCACAAAATTATAAATTTCCTTACCAATCTTTTATCAGTTTCAATTTTTGTAATAGTATCATGTAGCACCTTCAATTCACTTCTTAGAGTAGACTCTATATTATATTGTTTCTTGATTACTACTTTCAACTTCTCCATGTCAGCATCATAATTTCTTTGTAGTCGCTCTATTTCACTCGAACAAGCTTCAAACTTTGCCTGTTGCTCATTACGTTGATTAGAAACCCTGTATTAATGGAATAATAATAATAAATACATGTAGACTGCGTTCCATATACCTTAAAATTTCATCTTCTTTTTCTTTTAATTGAGATTTAAAATCATCTTCTTGCTTTTTAAGCTCTGCCCTTGATTGCTCAATGTCTCTAGTAAGTGCTTCAATTTGCCATCTCTC